GGAAAAACGCACACACAAACATGCACGAGTATGTACAAACACACACACACACACACGCATGCACTGTCCCTGACGATACAACAGCCAGCAGCAGCTGCTTCCATCTCCTAGCAACGGCCAGCCTGATAGATGACCCAACGATGGATAATTACCGTAAATCACCACAGCTCAAACACTAAAGGAGAGAGAGAGGGGCGAGAGAGCTGGAGGAAGACTGAGACGGAAGTGAGGGACTGAAAGGGATCAGAAATCGAGGGCTTGTGCTGATCACGTGTGCACTAATGCACCTGGATGAGTGGAAATTCATCTGCCTTGTAAAGCGCACACACACAATATTAGAAATGTAGAGCCAACAATTCAAACACTCACAACATAAACCTGTACATATCTGCATAAATACAAATGTGCCCCGACCAACACGCACACGCTGTCCCTGTAATCTGAAACCGCAGGCCCCGCCTCCCCCACCGAGCCGCTCGTCTGTCACAAATTCATCTCCTTTACACAGAGGCGCCAATCAAAGGACAAGCAGGCTGGAGGGTGGGGGTTTGTGTGTGTGTGTGTGTGTGTGTGTGTGTGTGTGTGTGTGTGTGTGTGCGCGCGAGGGGGCGTTCGGTACGCGAAAATAATTAACATAAGACTGATGGTGTGAAAATATACTATTGATTTTTGGTCAGTGTAATATATGGTGATGTTAAAGGTGCCACACCTGAAAGTTTCCCTGAATATAAAATGATTTGATTGAAAAGAAGTGATGATTGGAATTGATTCCTGATAACTTGCCGTTCATCTTTTAACCCTTTTGTTGAAGATGATAAGACACACGCGTGTAATACCCGACTGACAGTATATATTCTATGTATTCAAAATTTCAGCCAGTATGACAAACTACCTCCAGAAGTTTTTTTTAATAATTACACTCTGAACAAAGTTTACCCCAAATTATCAACAGATCTTCAATATGCACACGCAGCTGCTCCATTTACTTCCCCTTCTCTTTCAGCTCTCCCAGAGATGCAATCTGTCCCTCTCTCTCCCTTCTTTCTTCCCTCCCTCCCTTTCTGCGCGAGTCCTGGCTGCTGCAGACATTTGATCTGGCTGCCTTGTGATAGATGGACAGGTAATGAGGAGGCTGAAGGGGCGTTGGAGACAGGAGCAGGTGTTCGGCACAGTCTTTTTGGCCGGCACTAAGCTGCCATGTCCTTCACTGCTGCACCGCGCCACTCCCTCCTTCTTTCTTTCCTTCTTTCCTTCCTTCCTGAGAAGCGGACTATGCAATCCATCACACGGTGACACGGTTGGACGTGGACTGTCTTTATAGGGGGAAAGACGCACGGGATGAATAGAGAAACTGAACATGGAGTCCCACGCTGGCACCGGCAAACTAGGCCTCGGACTGGTCAGTCAAACTGTGTCGAGGAGACTGATTTGGAGCATCCTGCGTTAGAGGACACGCACTGGTTCTGAAAATACTTCCCATCAAGCTAAAAAAAGGGGACGTGATTGTTACGTGCATCTCCTCAAATTGTACCCATGTGAGGATAGGAAAGCCTCCGAAACAGTATTTCACATGCAATTCTTGAGAGCCACACCGATTTAGACTCAGCAGCTCTGCTAGGACGGCAATGCAGGCCTCAGTGCGGGATTTACACACTGAAGCCGGTGAGTAAATCCTCCCACACCACACTGAGGTGCATTTTCCGGTCAGCCAGCTGAAATACAAACATTATGAAACAGTCACATTCACCGGCCGGTAGTCGGGCAGCAGCATTAGCCACATCACGGTGGAGGCGGGCAGCCTTCGCTGGCTCAAATCCAAACAACACGCCAATATCAGCAAACACACACAGTGTGCATCGGTCGGACGCTGCACCCATCTTGAGTCATTCTGCACTTTGACCCGTTTCTATCCTGCTGACATAGCAGAGCACCGCTGCGCATCACACTGTACCTCAGGAACTAAGGAGGAGGCAAGTGCAGAGAGGAGGAGGAGGAGGAGGAAGAGGAGGAGTGGGAAGACAAAACAGAAATCTGAGGATGTGGAGAAGTAAGAACGCGGTGAATCAGACTTTGGGATGTGAGTGGTTTTGAGTGTGCAGGAAAGATGCCCTGCTTGGGCTCCATGTGAGAGGGAGTTTATGGAAGCAACGATAACGATTGTGCCGTTGGATACTGGTCCGATACTGACTCGAAGAGCTCGATTGGTTATCAGTAGGCTTATCTTGTTCTGCATACGCATGCAGCTTATTAAAAAAACTCACGTGTAAAAAAAGTAAACCGAAATGTATGGACAATAGTCACAAAGACATTGCGGTTCATTGGTCAGGAAATACATTGGTTTTGAGGTATTTAAACCTCTAAATTAAGACTCATCATGACTAAATCTGGCTGAGGTTGACTCTGGGATTTTTGATTTAAACTTAATTCCACTGTATACTGGAAACATTCTCCCTGTTAGATGTTCTGTGTGACACATAGCAAACGCCTCGGAAACCGACGGCTCTGCTAAAAGCTACTTCAGCTGCGAAAGAGCATCTTTCAACGCAGCGGCGCTGCAGCTTTCGTTTGTCGTCATCGGAGCCGGAGGACAGAAACAGCGGGGAGAAAACAAGGCTTGAGCCTATGAATCCACCGCTCCAGTTTATTACCCAGCATTAAAAGGACATGTCACCCTCCTAAATCAGCGGGGCCGAGAGGAGACAGCGGGGCTAAAACAGGGATCATTTGCATGTTCCCTCGAACATTCCTGAGAGCTGAAACAACCACGAGACCACCTACCTCCAGTTATATCAACATCACAGTTCAAACAATTTCACATCACGCCCTGCGTGACGGACGCCATCAGCTCGCTGTCTTAACGGACACTGAACTCACTCACACACACCTCACTCTCTGGAGCCAAAAGTCAGGGTTTGGATAAGAAGTACAACTCACGTGTCCTGTTATCTCCTGTTTTTTTTTCTTTTTTTACAAATCTGAATTTTCAGATTTGAACACCGAGCACCTGGCTGAGCGTCTGTCTGACCACCTTTCCCACTTATTATAATATATTCAAAAAATGAAAAAAAAAAAACAGCTTCACCTGGACAATCCTGCAGACAGTTTAATTATTTCGAATAACGCTAGATACGAGTGTGTAGAATTAAAGAGGAAGCCAGCGAGCTTAAAATTAGCCTTTCCCGATTGTCAACCTACTCAAAGAGAACCTGTTTTCTGAGAAAGAAAAAAAAAAAAAGAAACGTCATTGACGTGCACTCACATTCAAACACACTCGCCTGTCAGTTTAAAACTCGTTCTCACACACACACACGAGGACACACGTACACACAGACCAAACGCTGTCCAACACACAAACACACACCCTCACACGCACACTTTTTAAGCCCTCGCCCGGCATCAGCTGTCACACAACCTGTCTCGGAGAACTAAGCAGAGACAGACACTGTCAACTTAGAGTGCCTCAAATGCCCACATCCAGCCAGGCAGAGGAGAAATCAAGCCTGTCTCCCAGTATAATTTGCGCTAATCCTTCATGGGAGATAGTAAAGTCTACGGCATATCTGCCTAATAGCATCAGTCACCGGCAGGTTCTAATCTCATATTTAGACCCATTTCCATCACGGACTGACGACAAAAGCAGCAGCACAAAGTGTGATTACCTTCTTTTTTCTTTTTTTTTACATTTCTGCATGTCTTGACTCCTGATGGTGGGGGATTTTAAAACCACGAGAAGCAAAAACTTTGAGGTTCTTTTCTTAGCGGAGGAAGATGAAAGTCATTTTCAGGCGACTACAGGAGACAGGTCGACGGATGGGAAGAAAAGGGAGTAAAGTAAGTGGCAAACTGTATCGGGAGGGAAAAAGTAACGGTAAAGAGAGTGAAAACCTTTCAGTCAAGAGCCTGCACACACTCAGACGGTCCCTTTGCATGCACATTTACACATCCTCATGCACGAACACCCTCGCACACACTCCCCTTTTCAAAGGGTTTTACAACCTGTGGTGTTTGTCCTGCTCCGCTGGCTGCTTCACCACGTGCATTTGAATGCCGACTGGAGTGCATCCCTCTCTTTCAGACAGCGCCATAAAAGACGACACACACAATGAGAGCTCTTTTCAGCCGAGTGGGGCTGCCTGGGGGCAGGGAAGCACCTCCAAAACCGCCACGGCACTTCAACTCTCAGGGCACAATGAGGTGCTGAGCCTCGGTGCATAATAAGAGATTATTCATAAAGGTGACAAACAGAACAGAAACAAACTCCACAACGTGTTTGGGATGAAAAGTCCTTTAGTTGCAGCTTTTTCCTCTCCAGAGAGTCTGCTTGCCTGCATGTGTGTGTGTGTGTGTGTGTGTGTGTGTGTGTGTGTGTGTGTGTGTGTGTGTGTGTGTGTGTGTGTGTACGAGGGTGACCTGGCGATCGCGGGGAGACAAAAAGAAGGGGGAGGTAACGCAAGGATCCTAATGAAGCCGTAAATCAGACTCTGACGAGAACAGGCTCCGGAGGAGGATCAAATCACCGGAGATCAATGCAGACAGCTACACACACACACACACACACACACACACACACACACAAGAATGAAGACAAGAGACATTCAGACGCAAGCACTTGCCAGAATCCCCTGGTGAGGCCGACTTATGAAGGTACAAGCGAGTACATGTGCATAAGCGCACACACATACACACACACACAAAGTGACACACACTCTCATCTACAAGCTATTAAAGTTCCTCCATGTTTCCCCCCCCCACCCCCCCGCTTCTCTTCCAAAACCCTCCCACATGGGCTCAGGAGTTCCACCTCCTTGTTCAATCCCGCTCGTCTGAATAATACCGGCCGTGATGAATGGCGCCATAACTCTGATATCCACAATCAATCTCTGCTTTAAAGACACATCCATCTTCTGTAATGCTGACGGTGGGTGGGTGGGGAAGGGAGGGGGGGGGTTAGAGGGGGTGCTCGCCTGACCTCCTGGTACGCTGGCTTAGGGCGGGGGGAGAGAGAGAGAGAGAGAGGCTCAAGGGTGCCGATGGGAGGAAGAAGGGGGGGTTGCGGGCCGCTGAGTGACGTCTGTCAGCTCACATCTGGCTGCAAAAATAAATGAGGCTTATGAGGACGAATGAAAAGGGGGCCGTCTTCCTGGTCCCCAACACACACGCGGACAGAGACAGACAGACAAAATGTACACGGAGGCTAGAGGAGGGGAGCGCACAGACAAAGAGGAGCTGAATGGGAGCGGGGGGGGGGGAGAATAGAGCCCAGCTTCTCTGCCGCTCTCGTTTCGGTGCTCCCTATACACACTGTTGAATGTACGTTTAGCGTCAGCGTGAGCCGAGTCGGCCCGACGTGCCACAACTGAGCTCCGGAGCTGCGAAAGGAGTGCACTCGTTTCGTTGCGCTTTTTTTTCCTTGAGCTTCGTTTAAGCTGCACGCCGCAATCAATGAAAAGCTTTTGCCGCTCACGAGCATTTACTCAACAGGAAGAAAAAGAGGAAAACAAAGACATCAAAATGGCCACTGTGAGACTGGAACTCTCCGCCCCTCAACCCAAACCCACGGCTGAGCGGGGAGGTGAAGTATTTAGTGGGCGGAGGGTTTCAGGAGTGAACTATCCGTGAACCTGCTGGAAGGGTCACCCCTGGGTGACGCAGCCGCTCAATATTCCTCTTAATGACGAACCACGTCTTCTAACCCCCGCAGACAAAGCAAGGCAGCGTTACACTGTCAGCAGGGCTCTCCCACCACTCGCTCTCACTCATTCTCTCTGTCGGCCTGCCACCTCGTGCTTGCCCCGAGTTGGATTTTTAATTATTAAACGGACATCTTCGCCCCGAAAGAGGTGCTAGAGGTTTGCACCCGGCTCTGCTCAGTCTGCTATTGGAAAGCTTTTAAACATGGATCCAGATTCTATTTATTCCAAATCCTGCGCGTGCCATGAGAACAACTCATGTAGCCACCAAAAACAGCACGGCAACTTCATTGTAAAAGACATGATCTATTCGTTGTGTGCAGGCTACCACATTTTGGTCCAGAGCTACATGATTTCAGCGATTAACAATTATTATCAAACTACATTTGTGCTGATTTGACATCGACTTCTTCTACGCTGGTTTGTTCCCTACAAAACACAAACAGGGGCCGACGTTCTTAAAGTCTAATATCTGGCCAGGGCGCAGGAAGGGAAGGGCACCCAGGTGAGCTAGTTTATTGATTCTGCAAGCGGCTGGGATGGAGTCAACCTTAGCAGGGACCGGCGAAGGGGAGGGATGAGGGGGGGGGGGGTTCAGATGAAAGGTGAGCCGATGATGGATGAGAGGAAGCTGGAAATGGAGTGCGTGCGGCGAGGTAAGACGTTCAAACAAAAAGTTGCAGATAGGCATGCCGTGACTGGAGCGACACAGCTCGCCGACGCGTCGGTTACAACAGGCGTCCCTGTGTACGAGCGTAATGCGTTCTTAACCAGGCCCCGCAGGGCTCAGCGCCGCGACCCCGCAGGCCTCCGACTGGGGCCCGAAAAGCTGTAATCTCTCTGTCAAACAACTCCTCAGTAGCAGGTACGGAGTGTGTGCGTGCATACAAATGTTTCCAGGCCACTACGAGATCAAATGTATAACAGTCAGAGCGGGAATCATAAAGGGAGCGTGCTAACAACTAGACCTTATACGGCTGCAATAATAAGAGTCACTTTAACCAGATTCGGCCACAGAAAGTCAACCTATTACCCGAGAGGAGCACGGCACACACACACATACACATATATATCAATTGACTAATCCAAGTGACACGGTAATAGTGCAAAAACGTACTTAAGTATTATTATTACTCTCATTCTCTGATGAGAATGACTGACTAAAGAAATTCAGTGTAGGTCGTTGAAATCTTTTGAATGCTTTCTTAATGTGATTCATTCTTTCCGATTTTCTCTAAAACTCAAACTGACTTTGGCTTTCATGTACAGCACGTTTAGTGGCTGCATTCACTGGAGCAACCCTGCACACACACACACACACACACACACACACACACACACACACACACACACACACACACACACACACACACACACACACACACACACACACACACAAACACACACTTGTTCAAGAGACACACGCACAAACAGACGGCGGCCGTGTGTGAGCACTGGGTAGACAGAAAGCATTACAGAGCACCAGGCAAAGTGAGCAGGCAGGGTGGAGGTGGTCAGAGGGTTGTGGGGGGAGGGGGGGGAGCGGCGGGGGCGGGCTGAGGGAGGGAGGGAGGGAGGCAGGGTTGAGCGTTGGAATGAACTCTCTCAGGCTTTGTGGTGCACGTTTCCCAAGGCCCCCGCCTGGCCCCTTTGATAAATGACACATGTCATTCTGTCAGCTTGTGACACTGCAGCTGGGAGGCCCTGTGATGTATGGCTCTGCTGAAAAAGGAAATCAACTTTTTTCCCCTCTCTCTCTCTCTGTCCCCCCCCCCCCGGGTCTCCCTCTCTCTTCCCCTTCTTTCAACCTCCCTCCTTCCCTCAGGCCAGGATGAGTGCATGGGCCTTTTTTATGTAGGATTGTAGATTTCCTTCTGGTTTCCGTAAAGGGCCAACTTCTCCTCCTCCTCCATCCTCCTCCACCCCCCCTCTGCCCTACGGCGATAGACAGGCATGCGCGCGCCCAGGTTGCGGCTGGTTTGTTCTTTCTGCCGTACACACACACACACACACACACAGGCAGTGACGCAGCTATTATGATACGTGGACGAAGCCGTAACCCGAGGAGAAGCGGGCAAAAACCACCGTGGAGGTGGATCCAGAATTTATGGCTAAATGCCGAGGAAGTAAACAAACAAAGTATGCACTTTTTTTTTTAGGGGGGGGGTGTGGGGGGCAGGTGAAGAGGGAGGCGGGGGAGGCAAGGCTCCGGTTGGGCAGGATGGCTGGTGTCTCCCACTGGGTCATCTGTCATCCATGTGTCTGACTGGAGGACAGGCACACACGGCGTTGGGAACATTGTGCGTACACACACACACACACACACACACACACTCACACTCACTCACTCCCACAGGAACTGGGATGAACCAAGAAAAGTATGCCCCCCACACACACACACATGCACATTTACGCAGGCACATACTGTACAGATGTGGGCAGACAAATATTCACTCTGGAAAAAGAGATTTCAGAGCAAATACCCGCGCTATCAATCTTCAAACGTTCAAAAAAAGGCGTAAACAAAGACGCGACGAGGTTTTACTTCGCAGGCCGAATGAATGTAGCCAATGAGCTGCTCCCGTGAGGCCTGCCCTCACCCTCCCTTCCTGGCAGATTAGCCTATCGCGGCATCCCATTGACCCCTCCACTCCGTGCGCCGCCCACGCAATGGGTGAGCCAGCATAAAGAACACCAATCTTTCCCTTTTTTCTCCGTCTGCATACACACTTTCTCACTCACTCTCTCTCTAATCGTGTCCTGGTTCGTTCACATCCTCACTCTCCCTCCCTCCCTCCCTCCACACCCCTCCTCCCGTCGTTCCTCTCTCTATGGCTGACCTGTTATCAGCGCTCTAGAGATTTAACGGCCCCCCCAAAAAAAAAAACAGCCGAGCTTGAGTCAGGCGTGACGGCGTGTCGCCTCTCAATCATGTGATCACACACACACACACACACACACACACACACACACGCACAATTTGAACACCACTATAAGACAAACACATTGATTTGGAATCAAGCAAATGTCCAAACATCGACGCTGGCGGCTACTCGCTGCGCCCCGGTGAAATCCCGCTGAGGTGACGGATGTGTTGGTATGAAATCACAGGAATGAGGAGCAGGGTTCAGGCCATTCAGCAGGGCTGCATACACACTAATGAGTAAGAGTTCACTATGTGTTGCTATGGGGACCAGCGCTACTTTGACTAAAGGAGAGCAAAAGAGCGAGAGACACAGGCAGAAGAGGAAAAAAAGGAAAACAGCCTGAAAAGGAAGCATGAAGTTGGTGAGGATCCAAGAGACAAAAGGAGGAAAAGAAAGAGTACAGTCAGATAGATGACTACATTAATATTTATCATGTTACTAAACTACACGGTCGTAAGGTAAGCTCTTTTTAAACAGTTTTTAATAGTGATGCGGCATTCAACTTGGACTGAACAACAAGGAGACAATATTTTACTGCTATTATTAATAGCGTTGCAATTATCATTTGCTCGGAGCCTTTTAGTATCACATAATTCTGGTTCCAACAGAACATATTTGGATTTTTTGGTGGTGTGAAAATTGTCAAATTAATACCATGCAGCATTATAAATATAAGCTATTTGAACCTCCCAACATGGAAACCCTGATACCCGCTGTAACAAGCTTGAGTGGGTTTAAAACAGAACGTCAGCCGAGGAAGAGAGAAACTGAGGGGAAGACATCAAACTAAAGAAAGGGCAGCACTGGTCTGGTCTGCGACCACCTGGGAGGTCACGACCCGCCCCTGACCCCTTCACATGTGCACTCTGGCCAGTGCAAGGAGGAGGGGCGGTGGGGCGTGAGGGGACGGGGCGGGAAAACAAGGCATCATTAGGAGTGAGTGATGAGCGGCGGCCGTGTCTCGCTGCAGACTGGAGCCCCGCTGCAGGACCGACACCGCATTTATAAATGTCACGAGGCCTTCACAATGCTGTCAACAGCGCCAGCGCAACAACTGTGTGTATGCGAGTGTGGTTAGAAAGGGAGGGGCACCGTTGGTATGAGGCCCCCGACCTCTGCTAACAAGCTGCCTCTGTGACCCACAGGATATTACTATACGCGTGTAGACAGCAAACCCGATGAGGACGCGCAGCGCCGCCACCGCCGCCGCCGCGGGCCGGACGAGCACTCCCACCGCTAATGTCCTTCGCCGCGGACAGTGTAGCCACTGTAGCCATTTTGTTTAGTCTCCTTTTTGGTGTGACCGGTTTGATTTTCTCTTTTAATCACAGGCGGAAGAATGTGGTGTGAAGGAAGTAATATGACAAGAGGGGCAGTGTGAGCGTGGAGGCCGGCTCCT